CAAAAGGACAGCAACTTGTCTGTTCCCCTTCCCCCAATTCCCCAGCGCTGTTCCCATCCCCCCAATTCCCCAATAAAAATCTTTAAAAAAATAAAAAAATTAAAAAAAAATAAATGTTAAATTCTATTTACTTCTGATTCCTTTGTTTGATTTCAAAAAGTATTTCAGGTGTAATTCTATCTAGAGTTTATTTTGATTTTTAGGTTAATTGAGGGTCTGCCTTTTTTTTTTGGTTTTCCCCAAATTGTTAATTGGTTATTCTAATATCAGTTATTAGTCCTTTCCTTCCCCAATTTATTTGTGAGGCTTCCTTGAGCGTTTACTAAATTATGACCTATTACTGATGGACTAAATTTTATCAGCTACATACTTTTTATCTGTGGTCTGTTTTCCCGATTGCCCTCCGTTTAATTATTGTAGCCTTGCAATATTGGTCACCACCCCCCTTCTTCTCTTGTAGACAGTCATGTTTGCTTATTCCTCCAGCTGAAATTTAAAACCATTTCATCAAGTTAAAAACAAAAACAAAAAAACAAAAAAAAACACAGCTTTTTTGGAATTTGAGTGGGAATTACATTAAACAATCTATAAATCAATTTCTTTAAAAAAATCAACATTATTTCAATATTTTACTTGTCATCAATGAACATGTTACAGCTTCACATACAAATCCATTTTTAGAAATGTCTTTGTGAACTTTTCTACTTAATATTGTTCAGATACATTTTTCATTATGACTATATATTTTTTATATTATAGATGCTGTTTGGAATAAGATCCTTAAAAACAATATTTTTATTGCTGGCATATAGGAATATTATTACATTTTGCATATTTATTTGGCTCAACCACTTTGCTGAGATCTTTTCAGTTTGCATTGTCCGATAACTTGATGCAGTCATGTCACATGCACATAATAATCATTTTGTCTGTTTCTAATGTTTATGTTTTCTATTTCTTTGGCCAGAACTTCCAAGACTATATTCAGGGATGCTGATGATGGAAGGCATTCTCTTTTGCTCTTTGTTTTAAAAGGAAAGCTTCTGACATTTTCCTTGAAGTTGCTCCTAGCTTGTAGGAGATTTATCACTTCTACCCAAAGGGGCTGGTATGATTTACAAGCACAACGCAGACCCCTTTTTAGCTTTTTGTGCTTCTGACACAAAGCACTGAAGGACTCGTTTGGAAGTGTTCGCTCCTTCTAGAATCCCTGGTCTGCCTCAAACTTTGAGCCTACAGAGCTAGTCCAGTTCCAGCCCCTATCTCTCCTGACAGTCTGACTTCTGGGGATTGGTTTCCCCTGTAGGACTTTGTGCTTTCTTCTGCCAGCCCCACCTGCTGATATAAAAGCTGGTGGTGCTTTGACATCAGACAGCAGCAGGGCTGGGGTCACCTAACACAACCGTGGACTAGAAGAGGTGGTAAGCACATTTCTTCATAGGATACCCTACAAAGCCTCCTGTGGACCCTCAGGCATCTGGACTTTTGTTCCTAGTCCACCTGTCCCCTTTTTTTATTTGAACCAGCTGAATGCAGTCACCAATACCCCTACCCTGCCCGTAACCTGCTAGACCTCTGCTGGCACTGTGCTCTGGGGATCTTCCCAGTCCAGTGGGAAAGCAGACACAAAAGGGAGTTAATAAAATACAGGACAAAGAGGTTTGATTCACATTATATGAGACTCAGAGGCTGGAGCAACTAACTGCTTATGGCAGTCAGAGGAGACTTCTTGGAGGAGGTGACATTTGAGCTGGTCTTGCAGCAACAGTAGAAATTCTATGATGCAAATGAGAGAGAAGGGCTTCAATTCTGATTATTTCTATAGACTGCATTATTGTTGCTGTTCAGAATAGGATCTGTAAAAACCATCTTTTCTTGTTGCCCATTTAGGAATATTATTGATTTTTGCATATTTAATTTGGAATGATCTTAAAAGGCTTAGAGGCCTGGGGGTCGTGGAGCTTGGCCTCTTTCGGGAAAAGACTAGAGTTTGCTGAGAGAGAGACGGGGCAGTGCTTCTAAGTCAGTGAGTGCTCCTGGGGTTCAGGGCTTAGGGATACAATCACCAACCAGTAATGGGGGCACATAGAAAGGGAAGAGAAAAACAGCATCTGTGGCATTCCCGCTGCATTCCTGCCATGCACTTGTTAGTATATGTAGTGCTTTTTATTACGTTTAATTTTCCCGACAGCCCTGTTAGGTGGATGATGATACCCCCATTTTACAGATGAAGAAAATGAGGCTCGGGGCGGCCGGGTTAGCTCAGTTGGTTAGAGCGCAGGGCTCACAACACCAGGATTGCCGGTTCGATCCCCACATGGGCCACTGAGCTGCGCCCTCCACAACTACAATAGATTGAAACAACTACTTGACTTGGAGCTGATGGCTCCTGGAAAAACCCACTGTTCCCCAATTAAAAAAAGAAGAAGAAAAAAGAAACAAAACTGAGGCTCAGGGAACTTAATTAACTTAGATGAGCTGGGTAGCCTCATCTCTGAGCCTCCGCGCTTTCAGTTGCCCCGCAGCCATATATAGATAACAGCTTTATTGAGATAATTCACATACCATACAATTCATCCATTTAAAGTATACCATTCAGTGGTGTGTAACTATCACCACAATCAAATTTTAGAATATTTGCTTTACCCCCACAAAGAACCCTTCACCCCTTAGTCACCATCCACAATCCTCCCATGGCCCCCATCCTTAAGGTAACCGCTAATCTACTTTCTGTCTCTTATATTTGCCATTCTGGACATTACATATGAATGACCTCATATAATGTACAGTCCTTTGTGACTGGCTTATTTCACTTAGCTTAATGTTTTCAAGGTCTATCAATGTTGTAGCATGTATCAGTACTTCATTTTTTTTTATTGGACATTTGGGTGGCTTCCATGTTTTGGCTGTTATGGGTAATGCTGCTGTGAACATCCTTGTGTGATGTGTTTTTGTGTGGACATATGGTTTCATTTCTCTCAGGTCTACACTAGGAGTGGAATTGCTGGGTCATAGGGTAACTCGAGGTTGAACCGTTTGAGGATCTGCAAGACTAGTCTCCACAGCAACTTCCCTGCTGCCTCTTGTATGAGGCCTGTCTTTAGAGTGACAGGACTGGGAAGAAGGTCAAACCACAAAGCCTATGTGGATTGCCTTTTTTCAAAGAAGAAGACTGTTATAAAGTACTCATAGCAATGCGGCTTCACTGTTGAGTCTTTGATGGCTCCAGAGGGGTTTGTGGATTCTATAGGGCCTCGAGGACGTTGCCATGAGTGGTGGTTGTTACTGTGCCAGCAGAGCTCTGCTTTCCACATTCCAGCTAGTAGGCTGTAGTAATAGAGAAGGTTCTAGAATAAATCCTAAGGCTCAGGGTGTGAAGTAGGGACACGTGTGATGAATGGTGGTGAAGGCTCTTAGAAGAGGGAGGGCTTCGAGGCCAGCACAGCGGGGGAAAGCAAGGAGGCTGGGAAGAGAGCCGGGGTCTGGTCCATATGGTTTGAGGCAAGTCCTTGGGCAGCCGGCGCCCCTAACTCTGCTCTGTCTTTGTTCTTTGACTGCAGATCTGGCCGAGTGCAAACTGGTTTCTTTTCCCATCGGCATCTACAAGGTCCTGAGGAATGTCACTGACCAGATCCACCTCATCACACTGGCCAACAATGAGCTCAAGTCCCTCACCAGCAAGTTCATGACCACGTTTTGTCAGCTCCGAGGTAGGCCCTGGTTAGTTCAGGCCAGGGGGGTGGCGTGGCCAGCTCTCATTCTTCAGGCTCTGACCCTGTTGGGGCATGTAACCAGGTCCATTCCCTGGTCATCTGGACCCGGAAAACTATTCCCAAGGGGAAGCTTTGAGAATGGACCTGTGTCCTCCCTGCTGCCTGGGAATCTCTGTGTCACCCCTGCCTCTAGCTGGCCATGAATCAGATTGACTAATGGTCCAGGGTGTGGGTCCTGGAGTGATTTTCTTGTTCCGAACAGACCAGCAGGACATATAGGGTCCTGAGGCCCAGGAGTAGTTGTTTCTCGCTGGACTTGAATGAGCCCCCCAATCTAGCATTGTTTTCCTGTGCTGCTTTCTCACTTCAGGAGTGACAGATGCCAGGAAAGTTGGCATTTCCCCTGCTGGGCACACACAGAGCAAGCGGACAAGGGTACTTGGCAGGGAGATGGGCAGGAGGCCAGCAGGTGGGCACTATATAGAGTCTTTTGAAATGGCTCCTCCAGATGGACAAGCAGGATGTAGTGGCCAGTGCAGGGCCCATTCCCCAGTCTACAGAGTAGTTCCTCCATTCTTCTGCGAGAGTCCAGTGCTACTCAGCGACACGTGGGAGGGAGCTGCGACCTGGGCATTTGGCATGTGTTTGCAAGTGGTGGGGCAGGAGAGCTGGGGAGAGCTCAGGAGGCATAACCTTCCTGCCTTCTGGAACTCTGGATCTGATAGGGGCCTGAAAAGCGTCTAAGAGCCTGTTTAGGGAAACCAATATGTAAAATGCTGATGGAAGAGGAGGAACTTGAGCAAGCGCATCTCATACAGCTGATTCAGCTTCCTAGAGGAGGTGTGGGCATTGAGCAGAGCCCAGAGGGGAGAGGGAGGCGTGAATTGGCAAACCTGGGTTAGGGATGAGAAGCGGCTTGTACACCTCAGGAGGGAGCTACTGGCAAGACCTGGAAAGAGCACTGGCCAGGTGCAAACACAGGACAAGGAAGTGGGACTGGTCTGTGTAGTCATTTCTGAGGGAACCCCACAGAGATCACTGCATTTAGGCCTAAAACGCTAAAGTACTTATGTACGGCAAGACTTGTGTCCCCAAAGACGCCTGTGGGCGCTTTTAACCTGGCCTGCTTGCCTACCCTTTCTTTTCTGGTGACTGCTTCTTTACACAGGTGAGATGGACTCTCACATCCTGCAGGCCCTTTGGACCAGCCACTCTTGGTTCTGGCTCCATTTGAATCATCTGAGAAGCTTTTCTGCAGACACAGTTGCCTCAGCTCTGCCCCAAGACCAGTTGAATCAGAATGTCTGGGCCTGGGCCTAGGAATATGTCCAAATCCACCAGTCATTCTAAAGTGCCAGCAGCCAGGGTGGAGACCATAGTTCAGGGGCTATAAGCACAAATGTGTGAGCCTAGCATGTAAGTAATGAGTGAGTTTAATTGGATATAAGACAAGAGGGAGTATTGGGGACTGTGGCAAACCCATGCAGGCCCTGGCAGATTTGCTACGAGATTGTCCTGATGGTTTTATTCAACAGAAGCTGGAAATATGGATTTTTATGTGAATTTTACCCATTTTTATATAATATGAAAGTGATAAAGAAGTAGATTTAGGCCATGGGTCACCAGTTGAGAGACTCTCCTATAAAATATTAGAGATGCCTCTGCCACCTCATTTAATGGATGGGGAAGGAAGGTCAGGGAGAGAAGGGACTTGTGCAGGGTCTCAGAGCAGGATGCCCTGGTTGCCTGCTTCACAGGCCAGGGCTGCCTTTGTTTGCCATCTGTGTTTAGCCTAAGGGTCCCCTAGAACTGTATCCAGCCAATCAGAATTGGATGTTTGCTTCCCAGAGGAGGACAGAAAGATAGAAAGTGGATGGTGGAGGTTCGCTGGGGCCCCTGGGAGGGATACAGTCAGGCAGGGGGGCTTCCTTTGGGTAAAAGGAGGGTTAATTTGTGCTTTCCTTCATTCAACCTTCCCTTGAGCATCTGTCACATTTCAGACCTGTGTCCGGAGGCCCAAAGACAAAGGCCGATAGACCAGGCCTCTCCCTGAAGGAGCCCAGGGTTGCAGAATAGACTCCAGGTGCCGTGATACTGGTGTGGACACAATGCATGGACTGCTAAGAGGAATGAATGCTTTCTGAGAGTGGTGTGGGCAGGGGGGTGGGTGCGAAAGCAAGGGCTTTCAAAGGACCTGTGGGATGAGTAAGCAGGCCCTCTTCAGGGGCCCCCAGACAAATGTCAGACATGTGCTTAGAGCGCCGCAAGTGTCAGACATGTGCTTAGAGCACTGCGCATTCATGCCTTGGCTGTGGAAATACACTGTTTATCATAATACCCTTCCGGTCAGAAGTCTGTTGAACGACGCAGTTTGAGCTCCTTTGCTGCCTGCGGTTCCTAACGCCCCCATGCACCTCAGATTACAAAGGGAGGCCTGTAGCATGCCCAGTAATTGGATTTCACAGTGATGGTGACCAGGGGCCGGGAGGAGCTGGAGCTGGGGACCTACCTGGCTTCCACAGAGATGGCTCCCGGGCCCCAGCCTTTGTTGTAGTTTCTTTGTCAAATAGAAAACCCTCTCCTTTTATGTGTGAAAAGGAGGTTTGAATAGGCTCTGTTGGGGTCCTTACAGCCTGCCTGCTTTCTCTTCTGGGTTCTTGACAGAGGAGGTGGGCTGCCTTGGTGCTAGGGAGAGAGCCACCTGCACCCTCCCTGGCTGCCAGGCTGTCTCCTGTGCGTGCCCCGGGAACTGTCTTCTACAAGGCTCATGGGACCCTCAGAGCTGGGTCATCTTTAAAAAATGGTTCCATCCCCTTGATATCCTTCTTCCATTTTATGGCAGGAAAAAGCAAGACCTGAGAAGGATGATGGCACAAATGGGATCGGCCCAAAGGGCAGGTGGGTCCCAGTGTCTGGCTGTGGCTCTTCTGTCCCCTTTTCCTGCGTTCCCATCTCCCCACTTCCTCTTGATGCACATCGTTCAGCTCTTTGTACCAAATGTGTCCTCGGCCTGGCAGGCCAGAGGTGTTATGGGAAAGATCGAAGACCACCCAGATGAAAACTGGCAGGACTGTTGGTTCAGCGCTGCTCTAGCAAGGGAGTCAGCCACTGGACTTGCCTTTGGCAAAGACTCAACGGCAAGCAGACAAGTGGGAAAGCTCTATCGTGGATGATGAGAGACGTCAGGTATGCCCTGACCGGAGGCCAGTGGCCCAGGAGAGCTGGAGGCAGGCCAGCTAGCAGTGAGACTGCTGTGTGATTGGTCAGGGTGCGTATTTGGCTTTCTCTGACTGTGCTAAGTTGGAAGTAGGGACAAAATGTAGGGAAACTGTCGGTACTCAAGTCCTAGCCACTTGGGGTCGATTGTTATGGGGGTTTTGTTTGGCTTCCCAGATTGTCAGTAGAGACAGCAGCCTGACTTCCTATAAGTCTAACTTACAGCAGACTACTTCCTGGGCAGGTTACTGGACCTAATGTGTTGGTTTCCTGGACAGGTCATAGGTCAGAGTTCTGTTTCTATAGTTGGTCTGGCCATTGTCTGTGTGAATATTCCAGTTTCTCAGAGCCTGCTTTTCAACTCACTTCAGCAGTTCCTCATGAACACCTGTTCTGGGCCCCGCCATGGGCACGAACTGGTGAGTAATAACAGGGGAGCCCAGGTTCACTGGGCACTTAGCCCTCCCAGCTCCAGGCTGAGGGTTTTCCATGAGTCATCTTATTTAGTCCTCGTAGCAGCCAACATTTGGGAAGGATAAGACATCTGAGACCTGGACCTGGTCTTCGAGGAGCCCACAGTCTCTCAGGGGGAAGCAGACGTGTAAGCAGGCACCCACCTTATAATGTGCAGGGTGACGCAGCAGATATTTACTTAAAGTCCCATGTTTTTCCCCCGCTTTCTACTTTGCTTTCAGCCTACTGGGTTCCTTTTCTTTAACTGAGGGCACTTAGTGGATGAAGTGGGCAAGGAGATGGGACCTGGTGCTGGGAAAGTGGGGCAGACAGTGAGGCTTTGCAGCATTCAGTTGGATGCTGATGTCTTCGTTTTAGTCTGGGATCAGGCAGATCTACTCTGTGGGGCACACATTTTCTGGTTCTCTCAGCACAGCCCGCCCCTGGAATAGAGAGGTCTGGAAGGGTCCATCTCACCTGAGTTATCCACAAGGGCAGCTCCCAGTTGCTGATGACTGAGAATACCTGCCGGATGGCGAGGCAGTGATAAGGCTGTGGCCTTTTGCATTAGCTTTTGCCATCAGTCCTCAAGGGTATCTGGCCCCTGGGGTTACCTAGTTGACCTCAGTAGGGCAGAAGCCAAGCGGTTTGTGACCCCTGTGTGTATGCTTGTGGGCAGTGGGTCAGCCCTCCCTAGCACAGAATTAAAGGAACCCAAGTGTCATGGCCTGTAGTATCCCAGAGATAGGACTACCAAGGCCAGTGGGCATCAGCATTTCAAGGCTGTCGATATACAGTAGGAAGCTATCAAGCACTGATGTCACCCTGAGCCTGGGACCCGCCAGGAGGCGAGAAGCATCCCTCCCTGTGGTCAGGCTGAACCAGGACCCATAAGATGGGAAGCTGTGTCGTTTGGTGTTTAAAGCACAGATGCTGAGTTCAAGCCCAGTGCTGGGGCGTGACATGTTCACTTTGCCCTTGGGATCCACTCTCCACGCTGATCCTAGCTCTCTCTCACCCTCGGCTGTGGTGTGGGTGCAGCCAGTGGGGAGCCCCAGCAGGAGAGCAGGGGAAGAGAGAAGAATAAGATCAGTGACTTAATTGTCCTGGCCGCCTCCCTGTGAGGTCCACCTCGGGCTGCCTGGGCCCCTTGTCTGGAGGTCACTTCTCTTGAGGCAGCCTCTACACAACTCTCCTTCTAGGAGTCCTCTGGGAGGTGACGGCTCCCTGCTTTTAACCCTAGGCTACTGCAGGATCCCTTGAGGTTCCCCTGCAGCCTCCCACATCTTTGTAAATACTTTGTTGCAAATAACCCTCACCCCTTGAAT